ATTTACCTGGCCAGGGACTGTCTCCTACCTGTAAAGACTGATGCTCTGTGGGAGAACAGCAATTTCCTGGCCTGTGTCTTGGGAATTTAATGATGACAATTCTAACTTGGGGCTTTTTTATCAGTGTCATGCAAGCAAGCAAGTTACAGAGGCTAAAAAAAGCAGTTAGCTTAATCGCATCTTGGGTCTGAACAAGTGTTAGACAACTGTATCCTGAGTTTCAGCTGAGTGGGGACCATAATCTATTTTAAAGTCATGTAGACCCATAAATGTACTTAATCTAGGATGTAGCTCATCATGACCACTATTATATCTTGAGTTGATTACATTCTGTGGAGTATAAAGTATAGGAAAATAATTTTTATAAGAAGACAGTTTTCATTTTAATTTTCATTTCATTTCATTATAAGAAGACAGCTGTTTCTCAAAAACAGCTCTTGTAACAATTTTTATAGAAAGCAACGAAATGAAGTCTTAGGCTTGTTTATAACAGTTCTTGTTTTATAATTGTCTTTTCTCACTTATTGAAATCTTATATATGTATTTTTTACTATATTTTTAACTATTTTTTTATTAATCTATAACCTATAACTTACACTCTCACTCATTTTATTGATTAGTTTACACCACAACAAAACTTCAGAACCACGTGTGCCTCATAATATCATCACCATCTTAGAGTAGTTTTAATTTGCATTTCTCTGATTACTAGAGATAATGAGCATTTTTCGTATATTTGTTGAATGATTGTATATCTTCTTCTGAGAAATGTCTGTTCAGGTCCTTGGCTCATTTATTGATTGGATTATTTGTTTATTGGTGCTTATCTTGTTGAGCTTTCTATATACTCTAGAAATTAGAGCTTTATCTGATGTGGGAGGGGTAAAAATTTTGTTCCCAGGATGTATGCTCTCTATTCACATCACAGATTATTTCTTTTGCTGAGAAAAGACTTTTTAGTTTTAATCCACTCCATTTGTTGATTCTTGGTTTTAATTCTTGTGCTATAGGTGTCTTATTAAGGAAGTTGGGGCCTAGCCCCACGTGATGGAGATTAGGGCCTACTTTTTCTTCTATTAGACGCAGAGTCTCTGGTTTAATTCCTAGATCCTTGATCCATTTTGAGTTAACTTTTGTGCATGGTGAGAGATAGGGATTCAATTTCATTTTGTTGCATATGGATTTTCAGTTTTCCCAGCACCATTTATTGAAGATGCTATCCTTTCTCCAGTGCATGCTTTTGGCTTTTTTGTCTAATATAAGGTAGTTGTAATTTTGTGGGTTCATCTCTGTGTCCTCTATTCTGTACCATTGGTCTACCAGCCTGTTTTGGTGCCAGTTCCACGCTGTTTTTGTTACTATTGCTCTGTAGTATAGTTTAAGATCTGCTATAGCGATACCACCTACTTCACTCTTCCTGCTTAGAATTGCTTTGACTATTCTGGGTCTCTTGTTAAGATACTATCTCACTCCAGTAAGAATGGCAGCCATTATGAAGACAAACAACAACAAGTGCTGATGAGGATTTGGAGAAAAAGGTACACTCATACACTGCTGGTAGGACTGCAAATTGGTGCAGCTAATTTGGAAAGCAGTATGGAGATCCTTGGAAAGATGGGAATGGAACCACCATTTGACCCAGCTATCCCTCTTCTCGGTCTATACCCAAAGGACTTAAAAACAGCATACTACAGGGACACAGCCACATCAATGTTTATAGCAGCACAATTCACAATAGCTAAACTGTGGAGCCAATCTAGATGCCTTTCAGTGGATGAATGGATTAAAAAAATGTGGCATTTATACACATTGGAATATTACTCAGCAATAAAAAAGAATAAGATCATGGCATTTGCAGGGAGATGGATGGCATTAGAGAAGATTATGCTAAGTTAAGTTAGCCAATCCTCAAAAAAACAAATGCCGAATGTCTTCTCTGATTATAAGGGGGGGTCACATAAAATGGGTTTGGGAGGGAGAGCAAGGGAGAAAGATTACCTCTAGATAGGGAATAGGGGTGGGAGGGAAAGGGAGGGAGAAGGGGAATAGCATGGATGGTGGAAGGAGACCCTCATCATTATACAAAATACATGTATGAAGATGTGAATTTGGTGTTAACATAGCTTATATACAATCAGAGATATGATAAATTGTGGAATAAAGGTATATTAAGAGTTTAAATGCAAAAAAATAATAAGAGCTCATGTATAATGGCAGAATTTGGCGTGAACATACTTTATATACAGAGTTACGAAAAATTGTGTTGAAAATGGATAATTATGATTGTAATGCATTCCACTCTTGTCATGTATATAAGAAATAAAAAAAATTTAATATCATCACCAAAGGAGTCCCCAGAGAAGGGGACCTCAACTCAGAAAAATATGTCCTTTATATGAGATAAAAGAATTTCAGCAAGTGCCTGTCAGAGACAGAGATTTATTCAGGAAAGCAGATAAACATTAAATGGAGAATGAGGGTGATTTCCAGAGTGTGCTGGATTAAAGCAAGTAAAGTAGGCCATCTCTAGAGGAAGAAAGAGCCACCCTTTGGTGCTAGGGCTGAACTAGTGATGGAGTCAGGGTGGAGTTGTGTGATTTTGAGTCATTTTCCCCTTGACTTGTGCATGGACCCATATTAACTTTTGTGGCAAGGAAAACAAGGGCTGAGAACAAGGGCTAGGGGTGTGGGCTCCTTGATGGTAAGTTGCTTACTTTGCATATCAAACTTCATGCGTGGCCCTGCTTCATGGGTGGTGCTGCCTAGGAGCTGAAAGTTTATCTTTGTTTTGGATGAAGGACTCCTGAACAATTTCAGTCAAGGTGAAGGTTTCAGTCTTCCCAGAGGCACCAGACCAGTTGAGATCAGTCATCATGGTGAACCTTGGCTGCTGGATGCTGGTGAATTTGCTATCAACATTTTTTAAAGATGTGGATTCTTGAGCTTTCCAGACTTGGAAAATCATACAAGGGATTTTAGACCTGTATTTAATTATGAGTGTAATCTCCTCAAACCTCTTTATATAATTCAAAAACCCTGACATCCACCACAGGCTTTCATGTGTCCAACTCCCTGTGACTTCTCCAGTCTGTCTTTAACCTTCTCTGCCTCTGTGCTTTGGTGCCCCATTGTTTCTGTTTCTTGAAAAAGTTAATTCTCTCAGCTTTATCACAGGATATCATTTTTACTTGAGATGTGCCTCCCTTTCCCCCAAACATACACATACCTACTCCACACTTCTTCAAGCTCACATCAGTTTAAATTATAATGGAATATTTTCCTATTGTCATTTAGATATTCCTGATGTTCTCTGTTACTAGAACCCATACTCTGACATTTCTCATTCTTGCATAACCTCTTGTGTGTTTGTCTTTTGTCCCTCATTTTTATTAACTGATGTTCCAGGAACATATGAGTGGTGATCGTGGTGATGAGTGGGTGTCAGTTTTTCCTTCTTTGGATTCTAGGGGCATCAGAGGCCTGGTGTTAAACCAAGAAGCAAAGAAAAGACCGCCAACTACAATTTTAAATCAAATTAAAAAATTAAGCTTTTAATTCTGACCATCTGGGACTGTCTCTCTTCCCAAATCTGTGGGATAGAAGACAGTCCCCCAGCTCTCTAGGAGCGCAGTTTTATAGCACAGAAAATTGCAAAAGGGGGGTGTCTTGAGGACTTACAGATAACAGGATTTTGGCAAGCATAATACAAAGGCAGGTAGTAGGTTAATGGTCTAAATGGGTCAGCACTTAGGAAGTAAATTTAGATCCCAACATCATAATTTATGAGGCACCATTAGGGTTTCAGAGAGGGTTATTATCTGGTCAGGGAAAGCCAGAATTTATGAGGTGCCATTAAGTTTTCAGAGAGGGTTGTTATCTGGTCAGGGAAAGCCAGGCATGGGTGAGTTCAAGGCACAAGCAGGCATTTTAAGCAATTTTAAAACATCAAAATACAGCCAGGCCAAACAGAGATCCTAATATTTTACAGAAAACAGAAATGAATCTTTTATAACTTTTAACAAGATGACTCCTGATCTTAAGAGGAAATTAGGCTGGGTTTATCACCTGGCCCAGCATCAGCACTAAGGAAGAATTAACAGAATGTTCTAGATGGGTCTTGTTTAAGGAAAGGGTGAGAGTTGTGGGCATGAGAGATGGGAGCAGAGAGTGTCTTTGGGTGGAAATTTCCACGAGGATTTGGTGCTGGTTACCATGAGGGGCAATTCCTTCCTGTTGTTTGTTTCCTAGCCCTGTACCTGGGGGGGGGCGGCCAGGTCCTGAATGGAGTGGATCAAAGGAATTTCTCTGCCCTTGGCCCACCTCCCTATGGTCCCTCTGTCTCAGGCAGATGCAAGTAGAAGGCCCAGTGTCTGGGGTGGGGAAATCAGTCAGGGGTGTCCTGATGTTTTTGTCACAGTGTCCAGTTGGGTTCCAGGTCCTTGGTGTCCTTAACAAAGAATTGAGCTACACACACAAGTAACAGGCAAAGTACAGATTTATTAAAGGTGAAAGTGGAAGTAGACTGGGCCAAAAGAGAGAGAAGCTCAAGGCCCTGATGTCTGAAATCAGTGTCTTGTATACTGAGCTGTGATGCGTTATGGCCCTCATGCGACCTGATTGAAGACCTAACCCAACCTACTAACATTGGTCACCTTATGACACCTGATTAAATAGTGTCCAATTCCCATGTTGGTCACTGTAGAAAACCTAATTAGAATACTGTCCACTCTACCCTCATTGGTCATTTTAAAATAGGGAGACTGTGGTGAAGTTGTCATGGTGTCCTGATGATAAGTCCTTAGGGGTGTAGTTGTCGTGATAATGAGGGACACAAATAAGGACATGACTTGTGTCCCTGTCTTGGCCTCTATTGGCATCCTTTTTACACCCTGCCGCCACCATCTTGGTGTCCCATCATCCCCGCCCCGGCCCAGGTGCTCCCTGTGTGTCAGTCTCCTCCCAGAGGCCACCAGGTGAGAGGGTTGTTCCTGTCTCCACAGCACGTTTCTTGAAGCAAGATTCATTTGAGTGTTACTTTTCCAATGGGACGGAGCGGGTACGGTTGCTACACAGACACATCTATAACCGGGAGGAGGTCGCGCGCTTCGACAGCGACGTGGGGGAGTACCGCGCGGTGACTGAGCTGGGGCGGCCGGACGCCGAGTACTGGAACAGACAGAAGGACCTCCTGGAGCAGAGGCGGGCTGCAGTGGACACGTTCTGCAGACACAACTACGGGGTTGGTGAGAGCTTCATTGTGGAGCGGAGAGGTGAGTGCTGGGCTGGGGGCGGGGAGAGAGAGAGGGTGTGTGTGTGTGTGTGTGTGTGTGTGTGTGAGAGAGAGAGAGAGAGAGAGAGAGAGAGAATGTGTGTGTGAAAGAGAGTGTGTGGGTGTGTGTGTAAGAGAGAGAGAGAATGTGTGTGTGTGTGTGTGTGAAAGAGTGTGTGTTAGAGAGAGTGTGGTGAAAAAGAGAACGTGTGTGAAAGAGTGTGTGAGAGAGTGTGTGTGAGTGAGAGTGTGTGTGCATGAGAGAATTTGTGAGAGTGTGTTTGTGTGTGTGAAAGCATGTGTGTGTAAGAGAGTATGTGTGTATGTGAGAGAGAGTTTGTGTGTGTGTATGAGAGAAAGAGTGAGAGAGAGAGAATGTGTTTGTGTGAGAGAATGTGTGTGTGTGTGTGTGTGTGTGTGCGTGCTGTGAGAAGTTAAGGGTGCCTGTGAGGTCCCCATGTCATTGTCAGTGTCCCTGCAGGGACCTGGGGAGCCAATGCTGAGCATGAGGCAGGTGAGCTGAGGAAATCCTGACCCCAGAGTGAGGGCGGGGCTGGAGAAGAGCTTGAGGTTTCTGTGGATTTGGTGTCACTTAGCCTTGGTGGCCCCTGAGGAGAGGAGAGGTGGGAGAAGGCAGTTGCTGGAAATGGAGGGAACTTGGCTTGGGGTGAACGGGAGGCAGGTGGGGAGGGGGTTGTAGGAGTCCTCGGTTGGGTGAAGATTTACATTTATTCCGAATGCTGTTACCATGCTAAGAATTCTCTTTTATCTCTGGGGTTCTCACTGTTTTTGAAGTGATTTTATGGGTTCTCTGGATAGTGAGATTCCGAAAACATTGTTGATAATTTTGTTTATACTTTGCTTCCATTCATGACTTTCCATGTTAAGAATTTTAGCATTATATTTAATGAAATATGCTCTAATATTGTTAGTAACAATTTAGCATCAATATTAAATCAATCCTTTAGCGGTTTTGTGACAATGTTTTCCCTCAGCATTCCTTGAGGGGAGAGGGAAATGGTTGTGGATGAGGTGAGGAGGCTGGTCACACAATTCCTTGACATACACCGTTTTTAATCCAGTAGGCCCTGATATAAAAGTGTGCTGGGTTTGTTTCCATAGCATTTTATTGAAAATCAAATATAAGACTTTTTGTGTGAAAGGAGTGTGGGATGACCTCTGACCTTTTTGAGGCTTAGTTTACTTCTAAATTTCCTAATGTCTTTTGCCTTGTTCCTTTGCTTTCCTAGGACATGGATTTTGACATATTTGAAATGGTGGTGAAACTGGATTTTGAGTTACAATTTTGTTACTTAAATAACAATGTTGCTATTTTTATATTTTAAGTGGTTGAACATTAACTCTATGTGGTTATTACACGATTTACCTCACATTCCTCTTGGTTACATCTTTTTTCAAAATTGTCAAATACAGTCCTCCCTAGGTGTGTTAGTTTTCTGTCACGGTGACAAAACACCTGCCAAAAACAACTTAAAAGTTATTTTGTCCCATGGTCTCAGGGGTTTCAATCCTTGTTCCTTTGACTACCTTGCTTTGGGCCTGTGGCTATGGCTACACAGTGGAGTCAGAAGGACATGGGGGAGGAGGCTACTTACTTCATGAGGACCACAAACCAAAGGGGGAGGAGTGGCCAGAGTCCCAATATCCCCTTAAAGGACATGGCCCCAATGATGGAACTTCCTTTCAGTAGGCCCTACCTCCTAAAAATTTTACTGACTCCTAGTAGTGCCCCAGACTAGTGACAAGGCCTTAGCACATGGTCTTTTGGGAGCATGTAATACAAATCATGACGTTAGGTATGGGGGAGAGGGTAATTTAGTTCTAGGATCCCAGTGGATACGGAAATATGTGAATGTCAAAGTCCTTTATACAAATGATCTGGTAACTGCTTATGACTTATGCATATCTTCTTGTGTACTTGAAAGAATCTAGATTACTTGTAATACCAAATGTAAATGCTTGGTAAATAGTTGTAACACTGTATTGTTTATGGAATAGTGAGGAGGAAAAAAGTACCTACATATATAGAGCAAATACAGTTATTTTCTGTCTGTATTTAGTTATCTGCAGTTAGTTGAATCCTTGAATGCTGAAGTGCTGATACAAAGGGCCTACTGTACTCCAAAAGTTTTATATTTTAAAACTTAATTTTCTCTTTCTTTGATTTCAAAGGTTCTCAAACATTTTCCCATGTTTATTTCCCAAATGTTGTTACCACTCTGAGAATTCTTTTTTATCTCTGGGGTTCTCAGAGTTTTTGAAGTTTTTTTATGGGTTCTATGGATAGTGAGATTCTGAACACATTGTCAATATATTTTTTATATTTTGCTTCCATTTATTACTTTCTATGTTAAGAAGTTTTGCATTTTATTTAACGAAATATACTCCATTATTGTTAGCATTGATTTAGCATCAATATGAAGTCGATCCTTTAGTGCTATTATGAAAATGTTTTCCCTTTAGCATCCCCTGTCTCTTTTACTTAAAAACATTTTTTGATGTGGGAGGTGAGAAGTATTGTGTCATGCATGAAGTTCACATGATATGAAACCCAGAATCTGTCATGACCACAGATACCAGTTTACAAGGAGAGACAGTTGCAATATGATAATAATCCTAAAAATAGATATGCTTGTTATATAAAGGAAGAGGGATTCCTCAGTGGAGTGTAAATAAGCAGTCTTTCTAAGGCAGGACTTTCCTTGCTGCCTTCCCTCTCCTCAGGCCTCCTGCATTTCAAGCATTTCAGCCTTAGAGAATCACCTCTCTCTGCGCCTGCTTCCCAGGGTGGAGCTCTTCAGACACTGGAAGATAAGGGCTTACATAGGGAGCATTACCAACATCCCATCTTCCCTGTGGCTCTTCTGTTGTCCCCCAGTTTATCCATTCAGCTTTGACTCATATTCTCTTAGAGAAATCAACAAGAATAAATTGGTAAAATATGTTGAAGGCTAAGTTGCCGGTATTGCTTTATATATTATAGATGCATTAATCCTCCTATGACAGGGAGAGATAAATCAGTATTATCCCCATTACAGTGAGAGGCAGAGGCACAAAGAGAAGTAAGAAACTTTCCCAGGATCAACAACTAAGAGGTAGAGCCTGGATTTGAACCTTGCTGATCTGGATTTTAAAAATCACATTTTTCACTAAGGTCCTGTATGCTTTGCAAAACATTTTAAATACTTTATCCAAGTGATGAAACATTGTTTCAAGCTTTGAAACAAACAAACAAATAAAAAAGCAAAGAACCAACTCTCAACTCCAATATCTCAGCAAAAAAATCATCTCTCAGCTCCAATGACACTTTCAGGCCCATGGCCAGCTGAGGAGGACTGCCGAACTTGAGGCTGAGTATGGAGAGAGGAAAAAAAGTGATGCAACCAGGAAGATACCTCTGCCTTCCTGATTTATTCTTTCTAAATTTTCTCTCCTAGTTAAGCCAAAGGTGACTGTGTATCCCACGAAGATGCAGCCCTTACACCACCACAATCTCCTGGTCTGTGCAGTGAGTGGCTTCTACCCAGGCCAAATTGAAGTCAGGTGGTTCCGAAATGGCCAGGAGGAGCAGGCTGGCGTCGTGTCCACAGGCCTGATCCAGAATGGAGACTGGACCTTCCAGATCCTGGTGATGCTGGAAACAGTTCCTCAGAGTGGAGAGGTCTACACCTGCCAGGTGGAGCACCCAAGCCTGACAAACCCTGTCACAGTGGAATGGAGTGAGTGAGAAACTTCCTGAACTTATAAATTCCTCACCCACCAGGAAGGGACTTAGTTTACCCAGAGTGTCAGGTTTCCTCCTCTCCCTGCCCTGTGTTTTCATGTACTGAGTCATAGGTGTAGCCTTGTGATAGTTTCTAACACCTGTACCTCCCAGGGAACAATGACAAAAGAGAAGCTGTCCCTGGTTTGTACCTTCCCGTGCTGTCTCAGGGCATGGTCAGCCTGATGCCCTGTCTCCAGATCCTGCCTCTCTGATCTGGACCTATATGTCTAGGTTGAATCTCTGGGTTGTTCATTATGTGATCTGTGAAGAAAAGGAACGTGAAGGCCTTGGTGACATCCAGGAGTCCAATCATTCATTAGCTTCATCACCCTTGACAGGCCACTAACACAGTTCATACATCAGGTGTTATTCAGGGCTGTGATATTTTAATGAACTAAATGAATGAAGAATTTAATTTTCTACCCCTACAGTTCTAGTTCCTGTAGTTCAGGCTTCTTCCCCAGTCTCAGAGCTCTGAATCTCGGTGTCTCAAAGAGGAAAGTTGTGTTTGGAGGGGAAATTGCTAAACCTGGTTTCTTCTCTCAGGGGCGCAGTCTGGATCTGCACAGAGCAAGATGCTGAGTGGAGTGGGCGGCTTTGTGCTGGGTTCGCTCTTTCTTGTGTTGGGGATGTTCATCTACTACAAGAATCAGAAGGGTAAGGAGCCTGCTGGAGCTGAGTCTCCATAGCTTTTCTGGGAAAAGAAATAGGACCTTGCTGAAGTCAGTTTTTATATCGGTGGTCCTGTCTGAAACCTTTCTTTCCTCGTGTGACCTCTGATATCCTGGAAATTCAGAAGTCAATGTCTGTGGTTACTATGTCAAAACCTAGAGGGTTGTAGCCTATATGGGTATATGAAGGCTAACCAGACTAGAGATATGGGTCAAGTACCTTGAACAAATGAAGAAAGAGACAGTAACCGTTGGATTTTTGTGACAGAAGCTTCCTGGTCACCTACTATCAGTTTGTGCTCCCCTCTCTTCCTTGGCTGGTGTGGGCTGTGGTGTTGAAGAAATCAAAGGTGGCAGATCTGAGGCTGGGGATATGGTGTTTGGGGTCAGATTTGCCTCCAGGTCTTTAAGTATCTATCTCCTCTTCTCTTTCCTAGGACGCTCTGGACTTCAGCCAACAGGTGAGGTCCTTTAACCCTCTCTCAGAAACAGATTTGCTTTCCCTATAGCAGAAGGTAGAGATGATAAGACCTGAGACAGAAATACTGAGAAAGATTATGGATTCCATTTTCTGATCAGGCAGTGTGCACTAAACCTTCTTTCCACTTAATGAAAGGCCTGACTCTGAAGGAGCTTTGGCTCAGGGAGAATTGATAATTCATTTTCTTCATACTGCAATGCTCTCATGATAGACCCTAGGGGGAAAGGGAGCCATTTGCAAAGTTAGGACTGAAACAACACTGTCCTCTGCCTTCTGCAGGACTCCTGAACTGAGGAGAAGGTGACAACACTGAAGGAAGGACCCATGTCCTACCTCCCCAGGTCATGAAAAGGCTCCTGCTTGGCTCTCCTTCTTCCACAGAAACAGGGCTTTCTCAGGACTTGGTCACTCCTGGTTCAGTGACCCCACAGAACATGTCCTCCCTGCTGGCCTCCTGAGCCCTTATCCCTGACCTGGATGCCCCAGTACAGACACCAGGCGGACCTTGCCTTCATTCTCCCATGACTCCTTTGTCATCAAACCTCCATGCCTCCCATGAGTCTGAAATCACTTTGTGCCAGTTTACCTTATTCCATTTCTTTTCAAATAAACATGGGGTGAAAAGTTCTCTGTTTCACAGAATTCCTTGTTTGTTTGATTATGGTACTGGGGATTGAATCCAGGGTTACTCTAGTACTGAGCTTCATACCAAGTCATTGTATTTTTGGGGGGATTGTTTGTTTTGAGATCAGGTCTTTGAGGCTGGTCTTGAAGGAAATTGCAATCCTTCTGGATAGCCTCCCAAGTTACTGGAAATATAGGTATACACCACAATTCCCAGCTGCTTTATACAGTTTTAAGGAACAAACAATAGAAAAGAGAAAGGGATCATTATTTCACAATATAACCATATATTCATTTGTATGTTATATGCATGTGAGGTAATACATAAGTTTAGTTTGGTTGATTTAGGTATTCACCAATGTATACATCAATCAAACATCAGGCTATGGACCATGACTATGATTTTAACTTATCAATGTAAAATCAAAACATTAAAAAGGCAATGCCTAAAAATTCAGCATAGACTAAACAATTGAAACAAATGTAACAATGGGAAATAAGCTAGAAAAATAAAACTTTTTTTTTTCAAATTTCACTTATACCTAAAACATTGTATTACTGTAATTGCATATCAATGTATGGATGTATTCATAGATTTCACTTATATACTATTATAAAAGAGGCAAATGGGTTTCTAATAAAGTCTTTTAATTGACGGATTTGGGGGTTTCTACTCTTGTATTCCATCTGAAGAGTCAGTTCAAATGTAAATCAAGTCAAAAGGCAAATAATCAGTTCAGAAGTTTATTTCAAAGTAATAATCATTTGGACACAATTTTCCACTGTCAGAAACACCTTTTATTTTATTTTCAAGCAAATTTAAAATTTATATGATGTATATTTTATTGTAAGTTCTATTGCATAATATTCATGAAAAGCATATTTTCTTATAAGAATTTGCTAAGTTGATAGTGATGCCTGTTCTGTTTGATCCTAGGACTGCAACTTTACTCTTACTTTGTTTCCTCAGATGAAGATATAATTTGCCTCATTCTGTTGTGAAATGTAAAATATAAGGTAGAATTAACATGTATCACATACATATTTCAGTGACAGTTCTTTGTACTGAGAATAGCAGGAAATCCAATGTAATTGGTGGTATTTTTCTTTAACTCATGATCAGTCAAAGCAGCTGGATCCAAGGAAGGGCATCTCCAGGGCTGCTCAGTTCAGTTGGCCAGTGATGTCTTCAGTCATCCTGGGACTTCATCCCTGTGTCACAGCATGTCAGCCTTCCTGAGATGACAGGAGGACACCTGCAGCAGCTTTAAGCTTCCTGTTCTCTCACCATAGCTCCTAAAGACATGAAACAGAAACTGTCTCCTCCTGTGTGCTCTTGGATGGAACAGTTGCAGTTCTCCCAGGCATCCCAGACTCCTTCCTCACACATGGGAAGACAGACCATGTGATCACAGGGGCAGCCAAACAACCCATAGTTCAGTGTTTGTGGAGTGGGCCAGATGCACACGTTCAAAGAAAAGACTGTGGGGTTGGGTAGGAAAGAATTATTTTAGAGTGGGGAAATGACAGTTTCTGATACCATTATTTTGCTAGTGTTTTTAGTTAATTTCTTCAGGAAGGCCTGTTGATTCCTGTTTGGTTGTTGTTTATTTAAGCTTTATTTTTGGCCCTGGGGATTGAACCCAGGGGCTTTTACCCAGTGAGTTACAGCTCAGCCGTTTTTATAACTTTTTATTTTTCAACATGAACTGACTATTTCTCTGAGTCTGGCCTTGAATTTGTGATCTGTCTGCCTCAGTCTCCCATGTAAAAGGGGGATTATAGGTGTGTGCCCCTGTACCCATTCTTGAATGGATTTGAATGTTTTCCTTTTTCTTTTTTTTTCTTGTTTTTCCTTTTTTTTTTCTTCATTAGTGGATGGTACAAAATTAAGTACCATCCACTAATGAAGCAAACAAACAAAAAATGCAAAAAATATTGTTTTTAGAATTTAAGATACTCATGTGTAATTTTATAAGAAAAATAAGTTTTCCAAGAGATAGTTGAAAAAGACAATTATAAAAGAAAGGCTTTATAAGATGCTAGAACATATTATACATCTATATTAACAGACACAGTGTTGATTAAATATGCATGTAGATCCGAAGCTATAACCATAGAGGTTTAGTTAAAAATAAAAGGAGTATTTCACATCAGTAGAGTATACTTCAGACTCTTTAACAAAATGAATGTCTTGTGAATAAAAATTGAAATAAACATGGAAAGTAGAAAAAATTTAAAAACATGTTATTATTTCTATCATTTTCATAATAACAGTAAATATGGTTGAAGGTAAAATGTCTAAAGTCTTTTTTGATGCCTTGCTGGTTGGGATGGATTATGTTATAACTACCGTGGTAAAACAAATGGCAATTTCATAAAAAGTTAAACACCTGTTTGCCACATGATCCAGTAAGTCGACTCTTTGAATCCATCCAAGAGAACTCAAAACATGTTCTCATAAAGATAAGTGGGCAAATGAGAGCAGCATTAGATATAATGCCCCCAAACTAGAAAAAAATCCAAATACTTGACAACTAGTAAATAGATGGTCAATGATATAATTCAACAATCAAAATACAGTTCAATAAAAAGGAACAAAATGATTATACTGGGTAAAAAACTAACAAACTTCAAAAAATTAGACTAAGTAAAAGAAACCAGACACCAAAATCTCCATAATATGAAATTCAATTTTGCTCCATGTCTAGAAAATATCAATTTGTAAACACAGGAAGTAGATTAGAGGGTGGGTAGCACATGGGGCAGGAGTAGAAATGAACTGTAAACAGAAATGTTGTGATTGACAGGAACTTCCTAAAGCTAGATTCTGGAGATGCACAGTTTATTAATGTATTAAAATCTTTCAATTTTCCTTACAATGAATGAATTTGGTGGTATGTAAACATGCTTCAGTAGGTGTGTTAAAATGATTTGTGGGCTGGAGTTGTGGCTTAGTGGTAGAGCACTTGCCTAACAAGTGTGAGGCACTGGGTTCAATCCTCAGCACCATATAGAAAAAACATAAACAAAATAAAGTTATTTTGTCCATCTACAACTAAAAATATATTTTAAAAATCCTTTAATATAAAAAGATGATTTGTATGGGAAGAAGTCTGAGCAAGTCAGAAAATCCAGAGGACAAAAAGAGAATCTGCATAAAATTTGAAATTTCTTTGTACTAGGAAAAAGGCAAAATTAAAAGAAATGTGTAGCTCTGCCGCAGCAGTCTGGCTGGGCACAAATCACGAGCCACTGAAGCAGGAATAAACTTTATTTTTGAACTGCAAGAAAACACTTCACACATGCTCCCGGGGAATTCTCCCGAACACCACGCGTCTTGTCCAGGAACCCTCAGCCAGAAATATCTTTCCCGGAAATCCCTCCTCCTGCACTTCCCCAACCAATGGGAACTCTCGGGGAATCTCCGGAATCCCCACGAGAACTCCAAAGCAGCTTGAGAACTCAAAAGTAGCGGTGGATAGTAATGCCTCGCCTGTCAATCAATACTGTTGGCAAAATGCCTGGGGCCATACAGACTGGGCCATGGCTTTCAGCATAGCTCAGGAAATTTGTTGAAAACCACAAGGAAGACATTCTGCTAAGTGTCTGATGATATGCATTGTCAAACAATAAATGAATGAACCAACAAAAACCTAACAGAAAGTTGGGCAAAGGATAAGAAAACTATTAACCAAAGAAAATCCCAGTAGTCAATAAACATAATTGCTAAAACTCACCAATAATTTGAAAAATGCAAGTTCAGTCTATAATGTAACTGCTGTCCCTGACCCACGTGGACAGCTAAACTTAAGGACACTCTGTGAATTTCCAGGGACACCAAATATAACACAGACATACACTTTACTTTTAATCAAGCTTCAGGAAGGCTTCTCAGCTCTCTGCCTTAGGCTCCCTAAATGGAGAGCAAGAGAAAGTCACCAGAGGCTTGTGAGAGAGAGTGAGCATGTTCAGAAGTAGGCTTTTATTGCGGGGACCCTTATTCTTAGAAAGTTCCATACAAAAAAGGTCAGAAGGGGCAGGGTTACAAGGGTCAGGTGAGTGTAATTCAACCCAAGGAGTGTCTCCTACATCTGAAGACATGCCCTCAACTTCCAGACTGGGGCAGTGTCCAGGTCACTACAGATGTAGTGAGGGTCAAAGCCTCTTCACTCCAGGGTGGAAGACGCAAATCATTCAGAGTGGCTCCCCATGTTTGTCGGGTTACACAGGACTAAAACACTCAGGGGTCACTCCAGGGGAACTGGGATAATTGGGCTGTGTGAAATAACCACACAAAAGACAGAAATATCTTTTTCCTTTGGGGTCACTGTAATGGCTCCTCTGACCTTAAGGGTCCAGAGAGAGAGAGAGAGAGAGAGAGAGAGAGAGAGAGAGAGCACAGGAGCTGACCCCTTTTATTGAGGAGAAGCTATTCAAAAGAGGCAAGGGGTCAGGTTTCAGAGGGCTGAGTCTAGCTTCCTAATTTCTGCTGTCAGCAGATTGACTGACATATAGGTAGCCACACCCAAGGGCAGAGTAAGAGAAGGGGACACACAAAGGGTGTTTCCATGGAACATTCTATCCCCAACAGGGCAAGAAGTAACATTACAAAGAAACAGGTGAGCATAGCTCCACCCATGGGGATGTAGGAAGGCACGCCCATGCAAGAGGACACAGTTGCTCACACCGTAGAAGACT